TCTCTCTCTCCCTATCTCCCTCTCTCTTTCTCTCAAACACACAAACGTCATGTCATCCCCCCCCCGGGGCAGTGCGACTGACTGTAGTGTCTTTAGGCCATTCCCAAAGGGGGGACATTTCTCGTTCAAGCACAGTAGAATTGTAAATGGGCTGATTCATGTCACGCTCATAACTGTGCCTGATCTACAACAGGGAACTGCTGCTTTTTCTTTCCCAGTCCTTACTATTGTCATTTTCCTCTACTTCTTTTGTATGTTTGTCACACTCTTGTGACCTGCTATTTTTGGGGTGCCTTGATATTCGAAGCAGACCTTGTGCTGTTGAAGCTAGAGAGGTGAGCAGAATAAGTCTGATTCCCTGTAAAGATTTCTCTGTTGGCACCCACCCCTTGGCGCTCATATGACCTTATGCTGTTGCGAGCGCCGTAAAACCCTTTACTATTTTTTAAAATAATTTAAATTTAAAAAACGTCATGTCGTTCGTTCTTGTTCTCGTCACCATACTTTGGATTTGACGTCAGGTCAACAGGAATAGGCGTCGTTATCTCGGAAAGAAATCTGTGATTAGACGCGGGAGCCTACCTAATTTAAATGCCATCGTCGATTTTGTCTTTTCTTTATTACAAATCTGTGCCTGTGCCAGTGGAAGTATTTCTTATTGAGACAAGCTGTATTGAGACAAATATCATCCTTGCTGTTAACTGTTAGCTTTGTATGTTGCCGTCTTAACTCAACCGTTAGCCTTTTTATACTATGTTAATTATTTGATAAAATTGGTCTGGGTTTTTTTTACTTGCTGTTTTCATTCATATGTTGTTTTATTTGGTGTTCAATGTGATAATTCGAACAAAATAATCCCCAAATACGTTCAGTCTTTAAAAAACCCAAATTCTTGGCAGAACAGGTCATATATACAAGCGTTTTCATTTGAAACATTTAAACCTCTCTGTCTACTGCCGGACACGAATACATTTCTTTCTGCACTATTCTTACATATATCGTCTTTATCTCCCCTCTTTCTCTTTTTTGTGTTTGTTACTCTCTTGTAATACCTCTAATCTTGGGCACTTATTCCCTATTGTGCTGCAAGTGCCCTAAAACACTTACTAAAACTTTTTTTATTATTCTTACGGCAAACAAGTGTAATAGGATTTTGTCTTATGTGCGTGGTTAAAGCGCACTTCTGGTGGGTCCTGCTTCTCTACTTTCTGTCTGTTGTTTCTGTCTCTCCCCCCCCCCTGTACTAAATGGCAGATGGGTGGCTGGCTGTTGCCCTGATGGATACTATCGTCTTTGTCTCTCGAGATCCCCCTTCTCCTCTCTGGGTGCTACTTTCTCATAACACCCCTAACCTACAATAACATGTATATTACTTTTTTTTCTAATGACGTAAACGTATACTAATTTATTTTTTTTATGATTGGTTTTGTATCCGCGTGCTTAGGCTTACTCACAGTCCAACGATTTGTTCATGCCAAACAGGATTGCAAACTGAAAATGTGTTGTGCGTTGTCGTTTATTGGTACATAATCACTCAGTACTGTCGTGTTTGTCTACAATTTTTAAATTATGACAGAAACTCAATGGCATCTCCAGAAACCACCTACGCATTATGCTTTTTAAACACCAAAAGCTCATACCAAGCATGTGTTCGGGTCGAATATTGTCATAGCTGCGAATCATTTTAAGGTTTAGTGTATAGCACCGACAAGAACTGAAAATATATGGGGGTTTTTTTTTTCGAAGTTTAGGCATGAAGAAGTGGATATACATAATATTGTTGTTAGGAGGTAAACGAATATTTCTGTCTGCTGCCTCCTTGCCTTCCGGCTGGTTCGGTTATCTCAATTGTCTGTTGGTGTGTCTGCTTGGTTAGCCTGTTGGTATATTATTATGTTTCTCTTTCATCTCTCTCAGACTGCCTGCTTCGCGGCGTGTAGGCTCTTTATGGGCGCCGGTTAGTCTTAGCTCTGTAGAACCATCATCATGACGATCGATGGATCTATCATACAACCATTATTCTCTCTCTCCCCCCCCCTTCCC